ACCCTTGTATCATGATAGATATTGTATGGTCACGACCCTTGTATCATGATAGATATTGTATGGTCACAACCGTTGTATCATGATAGATATTGCATGGTCACAACCCTTGTATCATGATAGATATTGCATGGCCAAAACTCTTGTATCATGATAGATATTGTATGGTCACAACCCTTGTATCATGATAGATATTGCATGGCCAAAACTCTTGTATCATGATAGATATTGTATGGTCACAACCAGATATTGTATGGTCACAACCCTTGCGATACACACCATTAACACAATATATTTACCCCACTACGCAGCATGATATTGTTGTACCAACGAAGGCATACGCTATTATGGCTCCAAAGTTTCGGAAAAAATGCCTCTGAAATGGAGAAACAGACACATGTTGTCATAAATAGAAATCTATAAATAGAACAAACAACCTGGTTTTGGATATTTAAAGCTTAACATTGTATTTCCAGGACAGTGACGATATTTCCCTGCGAATTAACTTGTCCGATTTGAGCATTCCTTACAAATGCATGAACGGAATTCTTTCACTAATGAGTCTCTCTACAAACTGAGTTTGATTTTTAAGCTCATCATCAGGAAATCATAAAAAATATTTCCATTAAACAACATTATATGTATTTTTTATTAATACCTTCCACATTGATTGAAATTTATTTTATTTAGTCATCAATTAAAACTTTGACGATATCAACACAGAATGAAGGCATTACTTTACTGTGTTCCAAGTCATAAATATCAAAATTGAAGGCATGGAAATTCTATTTTTATGTCAGCGCGGTCACTAAATATCATTACGCAAAACAACTGTATTGTATGTAATACAGTGTAGTTTTTATGATTTCCTTTATCATGAAGGATACTAAATGAATATTAATGGTATGAAGAAGTAAAGCCAATCTGTCAACACACGTCAGACAGAAAAACAAAGTCACAGTAGCAGGAACTTTCAACAATGTTCCCATTTACGTATTTGGGACAACTCTACATGTATGTATCTAGATAGCCCTGTCCCCAGTACAGTATTTGGGACACCTCTACATGTATGTATCTAGATAGACCTGTCCCCATTGCAGTATTTGGGACACCTCTACATGTATGTATCTAGATAGACCTGTCCCCATTGCAGTATTTGGGACACCTATAGAGTATGTATCTAGATAGCCTTGTCCCCAGTACAGTATTTGGGACACCTCTACATGTATGTATCTAGATAGCCTTGTCCCCATTTACGTATTTGGGACACTCTACCTGTATGTATCTAGATAGCCCTGTCCCCATTGCAGTATTTGGGACACCTCTAGAGTATGTATCTAGATAGCCTTGTCCCCAGTACAGTATTTGGGACACCTCTACATGTATGTGTCTAGATAGCCCTGTCCCCATTGCAGTATTTGGGACACCTCTACATGTATGCATCTAGATAGCCTTGTCCCCATTTACATATCTAGTGGCG